GCCTCCTGTGCTGCCTCATTGGAGCCTCTGGAGGGGCAGAAATGATCAGAGCCCTCTGGGATTTATTCCACTCGTGGGATCCCTTGAGCTCTGTGTCCTGAAGAACCAAACCCTTCCTAATGCCAGGATTTTAGGAGCAGGGCTGTAAAAACACCAGGAGGGAGGTTTCCTGTGAGGAACAAGAAGAGCCATAGGTGATGTTACCTGCTTTTCCAGGTTTATCAGGAATGCCAGACTGCTCCATATCTGTGAGCAGCTGGAGTTGGGCTGTTTTTTTCCCCTTTATTTCAATCATTTAAAGAACTGGGATTACTGGGGAAGCACATCTGGATTGGAGGCTGCCCTCCCCAGGGCACAGGAAGGAGCTGGAGCGCTCTGGGAGCAGCTCTGCTGCATCCCACGTTCTGCACCACCCAATATTTGGAATTCAGCGTGGGCTGGGTGATCCGAGCTGTGCTTTAATAAACCTCACAAGCCCCGGGGTGTGAAACCACTGGCAGTTCCTGACGGGGTGCAAAGTGCCGCTGTTACCTCGTTAAAATCTGCATTTCCTGGGTGCAGGGGGGCTGCTGGGCGGTGAGAGCATCGCTGCTGGAGCAGGATGGGAACAGCTTCTGATACAGAACTGACTGGACAGATGAAATAATTAACTAAAATTACTATTTTTCAATTATTTCCTCTTCAGCCTTGTCCTTACAGAGGGGTTTTGTCTCGTTAAAATCTGCATTTCCTGGGTGCAGGGGGGCTGCTGGGAGGTGAGAGCATCGCTGGTGGAGCAGGATGGGAACAGCTTTTGATGCAGAACTGGCTGGACAGATGAAATAATTAACTAAAATTACTGCTTTTTCAATGATTTCCTCTCCAGCCTTGTCCTTACAGAGGGGTTTTGTTGTGTAATGATGCAAAGTCCAGCCCGGGCCGACCCCACTGAGGGATCTCTGCAGGACTTAAAACTTTGGGTTTTCCTTTCCACGTTGTGCTCATCCACCCCGTGCCTCCTAATTAGTTCTTTGTCTGTAATTGTGCCTTGTCATGATGAGTGATTAATGAGTGATTAATCAATGAGGGCTTTTCTGCAGGCAGTTATTCCTGGCTGGCATAGCTGGAGAGGCATCCATGGACTGAGGATCAGTGCTCAAACGGTGGCACCAGGTGCTTTGAAGCTGAAGGAGGATTAGTTTGGATTAGAAATAAAGCAGAAGATTTTTATGGAGAGGGTGACAAATAAATTGCTGTCTCTGAGTGCAGGACTGTGAAATGTTCCCGTGTTTAATAGGAGGAGGCTCATCCATTAAGGAGAACTGGAACCCTCCGTGCTGTTTTTATAGTGGCAGGTGTTGGGGAAGAGATTGGGGCTGGATGGATTCTTTAAATAAATTCTTTTTTTTATTTTTTTAAACTATCTCTAAGCTGCAATTCTGCTGCTAAATAAGGATTGCTAATGAATGTCCTGACAAGCAAAGATCACATCTATTCCCAGGATTTATTCCAGTCTCCATCTCCTCACCACAGCTTTGGTTCTCTTCAGTTTCTGGTCGTCTTTGAGGCCCTGCCTTAAACATCATCATGGTATTTGAGGTGATGTTTTGGATAACTGAACTCAGCTCCTGAGTTCATAAAATCCCAGAATCCTGGAATGGGTTGGGTGGGAAGGGACCTCAGAGTCCATCCAGCGGCATCCCTGCGATGGCAGGGACACCTCCCACTGTCCCAGGTGGATCCAAGCCCCAGTGTCCAACCTGGCCTGGGCACTGCCAGGGATCTAGGGGCAGCCCCAGCAAATCTGGGAATTCCAGCCCAGCCAGGAATTCCTTGCCAAGATCCCAGCCCAATCTCCCCTTTCCCAGTGGAAGCCATTCCCTGTGTGCTGTCCCTCCATCCCTTGGAAATTGTCTCTCTCCAGATTTCCTGCAGCTCCTTCAGGCCCTGCAAGGCCACCCTGGGCTCAGCCCAAAGCTTCTCCTGTGCAGGTGAACAATCCCATCTCTGCCAGCCTTTCCTCCCAGCAGAGCTGCTCCATCCCTGGGTCCATCCTGGAGCCTCCTCTGGGCTCTCCAGCAGCTCCAGCTCCTTCCTGTGCTGGCATCCGCATCCTGAGCTCAGGGCTTCAAAACTGCTCCAAGTGGTGACAAAAGTGGTGGCAAAAGTGGCGACTCTTCATTGAAAAACTGTAGAAAAATCAGAATCCTGGAAAGGACGAGTGGAAATCTCTTCCTTGAGTCCTGAAAACGTGGATCTGTGACCACTTGTGGGCAGCCTGGAGCTGGTTCCTGCCCATCCACGTCCATGAAGCAGAGCCTGACCTGATCCCTGTGGTCTCCCCTGATCTGACCTAGGGGAGAGCTGCAGTGACCACAGGGGAAATGTCCATCCCAGGAGACCTCCTGGTCCTGGTCTAGGTGGAGCCATCCAGGGGCAATGTCCATCCCAAGAGAGCCTCCTGGTCCACCTGGTCATACTCAGCCCCTCTGGACTGAAATCTAAACCCCAGCATGGATTTGGGGTCATTCCCTGGGGAAATGCTCCATCCCAGGAGAGCCTCCTGCTCCTGGTCCAGGTGGATCCATCTAGGGTCAATGTCCATCCCAGGACAATCTCCTGTTCCACCTGGTCCTACTCAGCCCCTCTGGACTGAAATCTGAACCCCAGCACAGATATGTGGTCATTCCTTGGGAAATGCTCCATCCCAGGGGACCCTCCTGGTCCAGGTGGATCTATCCAAGGGAAATGCTCCATCCCAGCAGCTCCACCTGGTCCTACCCAGCCAGTCTGGACTGAAATCTGAACCCCAGCAGGGATCTGGGGTCATTCCCTGAGCTCCAGAGCAGATTCCCCAGTTTCCCAGTGAGGGGGATGAGGTGGGAGCATGGCTGTTCCTCCAGGGCAGGAATGAAATCCCCCAAACCCAGGGACTGCTCTCCCAAAGCAGCCCGGGCTGGCAGGGCTGTGAGGGAGCTGGAGCTGCTGGAAAATGCTGCAGACAGAAGAGGAATTAGAGGAGAAAGAAGTGAAAATGAGCTGGCAGAATCCTGAGGTGACTCATCAGGTGCATCTTGTGAAGTCTCTTTGGAGAAGTAATGAAACCGCGTGTTCTAACAATATTTGCACTGCAGCAGGGAAAGGCATAAATATTGGGATCAATTAATGAAATTAGAGAATTTGACCAAAAAAGCCCTCGTGCTGGCTCAGAAAGCATCCCTCTTCCTTTTTGCTGGTGTCAGTGCCTGCAGTTGGAGAGGAAAATCCCGCAGTTGTGTTTCCCACCCTGCATAAAGGGGATGTGGGCAGCCCTGGGGTCGCTGGGACGGGCTGGGAAGGCTCCTGGAGCCCCAGGAATTCCTCTGCAGGTGAACAATCATCCCGTGGAAGGTCTCCAGCTGGTGGGCAGGCAGAGACCTCATCACTGTCTGGGTGTGGAGCCTCCTTCCCTTTGGGTGTTGGGGTTTTGACCCACACGGTCTTTAGCCCCAGGATTGTCCTTTGTGTGCCCCAGGCTCTGTTTTCCACCCGGGAAAGGGGGAATGATGATTTTCTTTAGGAAGGGAATTTTCCTTCAGGAAAACTCCATTGTGTCTGTGACATTTACGTCTTCAGTTCCTCATCACAGGCAGTGGAGTTCATCACAGAGCTTCATTTTGGAGCTTGGGGTGAATTTGGAGTGAAATTTGGCGTTGTTGGTATCAGTGGGTCAATTCATGCAATTTACAGCAGATTAATTACCTTATTCCAACAGCATTTAAATGGATTTATATTTGGGAATGGCAGCAAAGCTGGGGTGAGGGTGAGGCTTAATGAACACGGTGGCAATGCTGAGCTCAGCAGGGTGAGCACCTGATGTGCAGGCTGGGTGGGTTGGGTGGGGAAAGCAGGAGCCAAAAAGAGCCATCACCATGCTGGGCTGTGGCAGCAGCAGGAGCAGAACTCCCCAGGTTCTCCTGGCACAGCTCCCCTTGGAATAATTCCCCCGGTTCCTGGCGGCCTCCACTCAAGAGGATGTTGACAAATTGGAGAGAAGTGAAGGAGCCACGAGAGTGGGGAGAGATTGGCAAAGCAGCCTTGCCAGGGAAGAAGCCAGGAGCCTGGCTCGCAGAGAATTTGTGGGGTTTTAGATGGAAATGGAGCTTAAAGGGTGGAATTGCAGCTCCAAGGACCTGGGGGCAGAACAAACCCAGACAGAGGTGTCGGGGCCTCGGGGCTGAACACGAGTTTTTAACAGCAAAACCCAGCAGCTGCTTGGACATTTCAGAGCCCTGGCTTCCCACCCATCCCTGGGGTGATGCACATCAGCGTTTGGGGGTTTGGAGGTGATAATTTGGGGTTAGGTTTTAGTTTATGTTTAGGAAACCCCTCAGCCTTGGGGAGGAAGGGCAAACCCCGGGGCTGTGTCTGTGCCAGGGCATCTCCGGGCTTGGTGTCTCCTCCTGCACCTCTCAGGGGATGTTTCCTCCTCCAACCCCTCACTCTGAGCCAGGTTTGGGGGTTTTGGCACTGTCAGGAGGCAACAGTGAGAGTTTTCAATGAGATTTTCCCTCTCCCTGAGCATTTCTTGGTGCATTTAGAAATAAGAACTGGTGGTTGTTTATTTTATTTATTGGAAGCCCAGGGTTTATCTGAAGAGCTCCCTGCAGGGTTTGCCCCACCTTTGTTCCCCAGCAGGGCTGGATTTCTGCAGGAAGCTCATCCAGGGAGAGGCTGTGCTAAATTTACATTGAGATCTGGGTGCAGCAGAGGATTTGGGGTTTTTAAAGCTCTGAAGTCTGGCTGTTCTTGCTCTTTCTTCCCATTTAATACAAGTTTAATATTGTCTCTCGCTGCCCACGCAGGTGTGAAGGAGCTCAGGTGTGTAAAGAGTCTTTAAATCCATCCTGGTGGGCTGCAGGAAATGAGATTTTTGTCCCAATCCCTTGTGTTTGTTTATGACAGCAGTTAAAAGATGAATATTTGGAATAAAACTACACTGGGTTTTTTTAAACATTTAATGTTCTCTTTTGTTTTTCCAGCTGTGGGGAGCTCAAAAAATCAAACAGGTAACATACTTTGAAGAATATTTTCAGTTTTCCTTATTATTTTCAAGTATTGCTGCTTTTTCCTGTCCTCCCTCGTTCCCTTTGCCAGTTGCTGTTTTGCCTTCCCATGGAAATGTAAATGTAGAGAACACTCTGCCACCAAAAAGCCTGATTTTTTTTCTTTTTATATATATTTATATATTTTGATGTCTTCATTTTCTCCTTCCTGTCTAGTCAAGAGCTTTCTTGTCTCCAGTTTTTTGCAAACAGTTTGACAGTTCCTTGGGAAGGTTTGTGCCTGTGCTGTACCTTCCTCCCCGCAGCCCCTGGGGAATGGATTTCTCCTTCCCAGCGAATCCCAGTGCAGCCTCCTGGGCTTGGCAGAAAATCTGGGGGGAATGTGGGCAAAAAGGGGTCAAGTGAGCTTTGCTGCTGCTCATCAGGGAGGCAGATTTGGGGTTTTTGGGGTTTTGGGGATCTCCAGAGGCACCAGGGCTGGCTGAGGAGCTGTGGGGGCACAGCAGGGTTGGAATTTGTGGAAAATTCAGGTGCTGTGTGGGGTTTTTGGGTGTCCCTTGTGGGGGCATCCAGAGAGGGCTGGGTCTGCCTGTTGGTGTCCCAGCTGGTGCTGGAGCAGGTGGGGAGAAGGTTCTGGGATGGGATCCACAGCTGGAGGTGTGGAGAAGGTTCTGGAATGGGATCCACTTTGTGAGAAGGTTCTGAAATGGGATCCACAC